AAAAAACCCCATTTAGACCAATTGCGATCGCAAAAAGATCGTTGTAATGCGGTTTTGTCGTAATGCGGGGCAATCATAAAGCGAGGCACCACCATATTTCATAATTTTCAGTCTGCATACTCCTTTCTAGTCTCTCAAAATAGCTCTCACACCAGTCTCCATGATGTTTACAGAAATCATATTTGACAAGCATTTAGATAATAAGATGTTTAAACGTAGGCATTCTAAATGTATATAATGCTTTTGCTTAGTTTTTGTGACTTTTTCCTGCTGTCATTTAGAGTGATGCTGTGATACTGACATCCTGAAATTGAGTGTCATAAAAATGTTTTAAATCAATAGAAGCAACAACAAAAGCCGTACAGTCTCATTATAAGTATCTCTTATGCAGAAGTCTCAAATGGCTGACAGCTAACATGGTGCAGTAGCTAAGAGTTCTTGGTGGGGATTTAGGAGATTCAGATTCCAGTATCCCTGGAGCAATAAAATATATTGTTTAACTCACTCTTTGGTAGCTTGGATCCTTTAGGACAGCGGTCCCCAACCTTTTTAACACCAGGGACCGGTTTAGTTGAAGACCATTCTCCCAAGGACCAGGTGTGTGTGTGGTGGGCGTCCATTCATGTGTGCAGGGAGGCATGTGTGTGTCTGTGCATACATGTGGGGGGCATGTGTGCCTGCATCTGTGTGTGGGGGCAGGTGTACATGCAGGCGTCTGCATGCAAGGGGGTGTGTATGTGTGCATGCATTCAGGGGGGCATCCGTGCATATGTGTGCATGCGTGTGGGAGTGCAGGTGTGCATGCGGGTGAGTGGATGCCCATGCATGTGCATATGCACGTATGTATGCATTCCTTTGGCCCTCGAAGATCTGTCTTGGTGGGCTGATCCCTCAAAGGCCACGGACTGGCACCGGTCCATGGCCCAGAGGTTGGGGACACCTGCTTTAGGAGAAAGGTGGTATATAAATCTTTTAAGTAAAGCAATAAATGACTGGCAAAGATTTGTCTTCAGTGTGGAAGAGATTGTCACTCTCGAATTGGCTTTCTCAGCCACACCAGATGCTGTTCCAAGACCTCCGTACAGAGCACAATACCATAGTCTCTTGATACTGAAGGATGCCTACTACTAAATGACTGGCTGACTTTACAAGATTGTTGTGAGCACAAGTAGGAAGGTGGAGAACAAAGGCCACGTGTGTATTTTGAGCTTATTGGAGAAAGGAAGGAAAAAAACATTGAAAAATCATTTAATCAATCAAAACTTTCAGAGAGATCCAGACGTACTCGCTCAGTGGCCTTGCACCATTCACACGCTTCCAACCAGATCTACCGAGCAGGGCTGTTTTAATTCCAAAGTGGGAAAGGGGAGAGCCACACAGGATACCCGGAAATATTGGGGAAAAGACAGGATAGAAATGGAACTACAGTAACTTGTAAATAAGGAACTGCTCCCTTCTCAGGGAATGTATTGCAGCTACTCAGGTGTAAAAACAGTTGCTTCTGTGGACATAATATAATTAACATACATTTATTACATCCAAGTTATACTGGTTTAAATGTGAAGTAAAAGAGGCAGAGTGATGAGCAGTGGTTCTGCCATTTCTGCTCTTTGTATGCCGAAGGCATGACTCTCTGTGCTTTCTCAGACCCCTGAAAGGCAAGGACTACCTGTTAAAAGTGTGCAAAATGGCAGGAAAGCAGGTGCACGTTTTCCCATATAACAGTGTGTCCAAGGAAACATGGGGGGGATTTCTTTACGTCAGTTATTTGTTTGGGCATCTCTGTCTATGGGTGTGCGTGAGAAAATCATTTGCAGAGAGTATTGATCTCAAAACCCACTTTCCTTATTTATTATTTTAATGTACTGGAAGCGGGGTCAATTAGCTTGCTGCTATTTCCTGTCAAGCTGTCCATGTCTTCTGCATCAACACACCCAGTTTTGCTTGGGGTTGTTCTTGAACCTCCCATGGTCAATTTGATGGCCTGCACAACTGGCTGTGAGCTGCAAGTGACTTAAGATATTGTTCTTGACCAATGGCGTTGTAGAGGCAGAGCCCGCAGGCTTTCAGCACTTGGGGTCTTTTTTGACTAGCAGAGACACAAGGACGTGGTCTGCTACTCCCTCCCATGTTCTGTTCTTCCTTCTGACCTTGGTGGCAGTCCTCCCAGTAGCTGAAAATGAATTTTCTCTGCAAACAGTAGGTTGGATGGTAATTAAGACCATCAGCTATAGCTGCTTTGTTGATACAGATTGACATATTGGCCTGCATTTTTGCACCCGTCCCTGAGGGTAGGCCCTAGGCAGACTAAGGAGTGCCTGTTCTCTGAGATTTACTTTGGTAACACTGCTTTTGATGGTGAAAAAGAAAAAAGAGCACAGCGCATGGGATCTGCAGAATGCATACAGATGCCTTTTTAAAACGTTCTGCCCAGCTTCTGAGAGCAGTGAAGCTTGCTTAGCTTCTTGGTCCCAGACCGTTACAATTTAAAATGAAGTGTAGGCCTATGGGTATTTTAATTGTCCGATGGCCCCAGGAAACCTTCTGCTCTGCTTATGTGTCCTTGGAGTACCTGATGGTTTTAGACACCAGCTATGCATAGTTACAGTGAATTCTTTGTGCTTTCCTGTTCTTCTAACTTGATAATGTGATATATTATCTCTTCAATGTGCACCTGTAAGTCATTATTTTTAGTAGCCATTAAACAAGTTTTGATAGCAGGGATAAACCTCCCCCATGCTGGTAAAGTTAGGAAGACAATATACAGTGTGTTTGTAATCAATATTGTCAATTTTCTGGACGCTTGGGTATAAGACTCAGTAAAGCTGTTATGCCTGCCATGTAATGATCAGTAAATTGCAGCCTTTCCTAACGTAATTCCCAATAGCTGACGCACTCTGTTGTTCATTTGCAGGGTATTCTGGGACTCTACCGAGGTTATAAAAGCACGGTATTAAGAGAGGTAACAATTTTAGTTCTTTAACTTTTCTGGGTTTTTTATCTTCTGGAATGATGCATGTTCTTGATTGTTTGAATTATTTCCCCTTAGCCATTTATGATGGTAATACAACAAAATAAACTATAATGGGATTACAAGGTATTCTTTATTATATACATTGCTTCCCCAGCCCGCATTGAGGGTGCCCCCTTTAAAAGCTTGTATATTTGAACCCAGAAGCTATTTCAGGGCTCCCTGGAGGTGCAGGGGGTGGGGAAGGAGGAAACAGTGTTAAAATAGAACATGCTGTCCACTGACTACTTCTGAGAATGTGATGGTTCATTTTGGAACCATTCCCTCCCCTTTCCCCCAAGGAGGCTCTGAGCGCCCCTGGGTCTTCGGTCACACTGGAATTTGTGGTGGTCTTCCATGTGGGATGGACCGCTGGGAGGATAACACATAACTGATGAAGGCCTGGAGAGGCCTCTTATTCAAGAAGGCAAATGATCAACTCAGGCTCAAGCCTTTTTTAAAATGGAAGCGAGGAGCTCAGGAAGGTAAGCAAGGGCAGGATAGCCTCCTGAGGCCCTCTTGAAGGTGCCTTTCCCTGTGGTAAGCTACGTTTTAGTGTTGTTCCTACAAGTGACTGTCGTATGGCAACACTGTGTGTAGACTTTGCTACCAAAAGCTGGAGAATTAAAGGCAAATAAGGAACAATGCATGCCTCTTGGAGCAGGGGAAAGCCCTTGGGTTCTGAAAACTTGGTTTGGCATCTAGGATTCGTTCTATTTTTTTAAAAAAACAAACAAACCAACAGGGGTATTGCCACCAAGAAGAGAAGATGCATGTAGCTCTATGGTCATATCAAAAATTTATCTGCCCCCCTACCCTACCTTTCCATTTCTAGAGTAAAGAGAATGTGGAGGTGTGAGGCAGATACTTATGGCATGCTTGAAAAATTTATTTATTTATTTATTTATTTATTTATTTATTTATTTATTTATTTATTTATTTATTTATTTATTTATTTAACTTATATGCTGCCTACTCTACCGAAAGGTCTCTGGGCGGCTTACAACAATTAAAATTCAATTAAAATACAATAAAAGATAAAATGATTAAAATACAGTTAAAATTGCCATCGGGACCCACAGTTGATACTATTTTAATTAAAATGACATTCAGTAGAATATAAATAACAACAACAAAGCTTACAGTCCTGCCATCGCGACCCACAGTTGATACTATTTTAATTAAAATGACATTCAGTAGAATATAAATAACAACAACAAAGCTCACAGTCCTTTGTCTGTCAGGCACAACATTTGTATAGTTTTAAGTATGAGTTACAAATAGTTTTTCAGAAGGTTACTTTATTGCTTTAAGGATTGTTCGTCTCTGCCTTTGGATCATGTGGAAACACCTTCCTCAGGTTGGGTTTTTGGTCCTGTGTACGATGCTCAGAAACAATTAAAAAAATCCCATGCTTAATGATTGCTCCAGGTAGAAAGTGGTAATGAGGTTCTCTTTGTTGCAGCACCTCAGAGTGTCTGAAAAATTAGTTATTTGTTTAATGAGATGACACCTGCTTTACTAAAATATACCCCCTCACCATTGCTTCATTCTGTGCTTATTTTCTGCCTCACTAAACAGATGTCACTTGTTGAGATTTTGTCTGGTTGGAGGGAGCAACTGAAAAGGGCACAAGACTTTTTGATTTCTCTAAGGGTTTCTGAATAAATGAATAAATGCAATGGCTAAAGAATACTGATTTCATTTTTTGCTGCTCTTGACTGCTAACGGATAGATAACGCACATGCGTGCAATTGGATGTTATTTTCTCTCCAAAATGTGTTTTGACATTTGTCAGGGTGATAATTAATTTCCAGACAGATCTCCTACCAAAATATCTGATCCAGCTGAGAGAACTTGGTTTACTCAAAATAGCAACACTTCATTGAAAATCTAAGTGGGGCCCCTTCCCTTGCGTATTCATAAAAGTTCCTTCAGAACCAATTTCACCTGAAATATTGCTGTTTTGTCTTTTTATTCTTTTTCTTTTAGCGAGGGAACGAGTAACAAATTGTTGAAATGAAACATGGCTTTGCTTCAAAATGGGGGGGGTCGGAATCAGAAATGATCACTTGTACATCCGTCTTGTTTTCTTTCTTAAGTGTCATAAATATTGCTCTGTGTGAAAAAACATGATTTTTGATGTGAAATGTCAGGAAATTTTGTGGGAAAGGATCTGCTAAATAGTTTAAGTGGCTGTTTTTGCACATGCAGGCAGCTGTGAAGCTGGGGGCGGTGTGAAACTCTGCATTTGTAGTAGACACATATTAAATAGAACACACACATCTCTTTCTTCCTTTAAGCTGGAATAATTTCTGTATTGGGTGGGAGATCTTGTCTTAATTATTGACTATTTCCCTGTATTCTTTTCATATGCTTGTTCTGGAATGAGATACAACAGAAACTCTGTATGTTTCCTTTTCTTCTCCCTGATAATGTGTAGAAAAATAAAATCTGACTTGATGGCATTGTGGTCTAGTTTGTCTCACCAGGAGTCAATGACAGCCAACAAAGATGGAAATGGGATATTATTGAAATATGGTGCCCTCAAGTCATATTATCTGTAGTTGTAGGTGTAACTAGAAGAAGAGGAGGCCATGTTGTTCCTGGTGCATCTAATTGTATTTACCCGTATTTTTCGCTCCATAAGAGGAGGAGGCCATGTTGTTCCTGTTGCATCTAATTGTATTTAATATTTTTTGGTCTGGGATGCCAATGGTGTTACAGACAGCTATGACATCACCTGCCTGTCACTGCTGAAGCTGTGTGTCATCTACCAATGGCGTGATGGTGGGTGGGACATAAGGGTGGAGCTGTTGTATATAAGGGGAGTGAATGGTGTGAGAGATTGAGATAGGGCTGTGAGATAGGGCCAGATAGGGCTTAGAGATAGGGCCAGTTTGGGCTTTGAGATAGGGTTGAGATAGGGAGATAGGGCTTGGAGATACTGTGAGATAAGAACTGTGCTATATAGTGAGGGTCTGTGAGAATGTGTGTGTGATTGTTATATTATTATAGTGATTGCTTTATTATTTATATTCAAGTGATTTACCATTCCTTTTGTTTGTATACAATAAACCTAAGTTTTTATTTTGAATTCATACTTTGACCTGAAGCTTCATTTGAGGGAATGGTTGGTGGCAGTGGGAACAAGAGTGATTGAGTGTGACGTAACGGCCCCTTTGTGAGGTATAAGGTGGCTGTTACAAATGGTACTTGGTTTTTTAAAATGTCAATGAATCTGATAATTGTGTTTTATCAGTATTAGTATGGTTAGAACTGGAAAGATTATCAGAGAAACAAACGACATTTAACCAATCTAAAAGCCACCCGAGGATCCTCACCATCACCTATCCCATGTAGATATAGTGGTACAAAACCAGATAAATTGGAGTGACAGGCAGGGAGGGAGAACACTGTGTGACTGTGTTGTGAGACTGTGGAATGCCTTCTTTGACTGGTGCTGACATTGCCATTTCTTTTGGCACCAAATGGAAACTTGGCCGTTCACTGAGAATTCAGTGCCCGGGGGAGAAGAGAGCACATCTTGGCTTCGAAGCCTTCAGCTTGCAGGGGTCTTTTTTTTTGTTTGTTTGTTCGAATGGATAATTTTTTAAAAGAGTTTTTATTTGATTTTTGCTTGAGATTCCTTTAGATTGGTTTTTATAGATTGCCCGACATCTGTGGGGTAGGTACCCTGGGGAGACAGACCGATGGAGAGACAGAGACAAGCAAGTAAGCCAGCAGGCACACATTGGGAATCTCATGGCATGAAAGGGAGCCACTGAGTTTTGACATTGTTTTGTGTTTTCAGAAGGGGAGGGTTAAACTGAAGAAGGGGAAATCTTCTCTGTGGCCTTTGTCACCATTTCCCCCCCCCAAATGTGATTGTATTGTTAAAATAAGTTGTATGGGGAATTGTGCATTCTTGGTCTCATAGTTTAGTGATGAGCTGGTGACATCTATAGTTCCTCTGCTGAAAGTTTATCCTGGTAAGTTGAGCCAGGCCTTTCAGTTTCTGTAGACTTTATTTTATTAACTATGACCAAGGAGAACATCTGTTAAAATTCCATTATATTTAGTTCATGGGAAAAAGGGGGTAGAAAGGAGGGAATCCCTCCCCTGATTCTCAATTCTCTTTAGGCTTCTTTAAAAATGCTCAAACTAGCAGTGTTTTAGCAGATGTCTAAAATGGACATTAAAATGAATGAGGATGCAGCGTTTTAAAAAATAATAATAAAGAAGTTAACCTTTCATTGAATGACATCTTTTTCCATCATCTAATGCCTTGTGGTTTAGTTTGTGTACATATAATATTATTAAGGCTGACAGACTCCTTTTCATTGTAAGTTGTTGCTGTAATGTTGTAAATCTGTAAGAGCTAGACACTATCATAAAATTCATATCACTCATAAGAGTTTTCTCTAGCCAGAGATATTACGGCAAGAAAGAAAAAGCCCACTTTTATGTCTGAGGAAGTGGACATGTCCACAAAAGTTCACATCAAAATATATCAGTTAGTCTTTAAGGTGCCACAACATTTTTGTCTTTTTAACTTTTTTCTTTTGGTTTTGCCTGATATGCTAACAAGACTAATATGACTACCTCTTTAGAAAAGAAAGGAAAAAAAACTGTATGTAGGCATCCTTCAGTCTTGAGAGACTATGGTATCGTGCTCTGTATGGAGGTCTTGGAACAGTGTCTTGTGTGGCTGAGAAGGCCAATTCGAGAGTGACAATCCCTTCCACACTGGAGACAAATCCAATCTGTCCCCTGTCCAGCTCCCTGGTTTTGCTTGTTTCGGGACTGCCTCTTTGCCTCAGTCTGCTGTACAAGTGTCTCTTCAAATTGGGAGAGGCCATGATGCACCGCCTGCCTCCAGGCTGAACGATCAGACATCAAGGTTTCCCATCCGTTGAGGTCCATTCCTAAGGCCTTCAGATCCCGCTTGC